CTCTGCCCCCTGTCTCCTGAATGGGCCTGGGACCTGCACTGCAGAGAGCTGCTCTCCTGGATGGACCCCTCAGAGCTTGTCATGCAGAACTATATGCATAACATAGGATAACCTATGGTACGCTATGCTATTCTATGCTATTCTATTCCTGCGCTCACCATGAGTCAAATACCGATAAGACCATTATTTGCCTGAAATGCCAGGGGGCTTTCAGCTATAAAAATAGTTTGAAGGACACAAATCAGAAGGACTACAAGATTTGACTGTATTTTATTTTTCTGAATCTGTTTCAGAGCCGGTGCTCACAAGCATTAAGACAATGCACACGTGCAGCCAGGAGCAGGCTGATGCATTCTTCAGTTTAGCTTGAAAAAAACATCCCTTGCAGTCTGGCAAAGGAAAGCCACAGAGCCACAGAAATAGCAGCAGCAGTACAAGACAAGCAGTCCCCGTTTCCTGAAGAGGGAGAATTTGAAGAATGAGCATTGGTATGGACCACACAAAGGCAGAAGAACAAGAAGAGGTGTGTGGTATTGTGGGGTATTTTTGAAAGGATCATACCTATGACAAGCATACTTTTTGCCTTCCAAAATTTGCTCCACTGTGCTTCTTGGCCAGAGATGCATGAAAAGCACTCTCATGCCTGCCCTGCATTTGTATCACGCGCAGGGAGAGCTGAAAAGTGGAGTGGCAGCTCCTGATGGTGCAGCAGCCTGGAGCCCTTCCAAGCACAGGCTGTTTTGCACAAGCAAGAAGCCCTGGGGAAATGAAGCCAAGCGAAGAGCAGAGCTTGCTCCTGCTCCCAACTTGCAATGGGCAAGAGAGACAGAGAGAGCCAGGGCACAAGTGGTGCCTTGCAGGTGCAAGAGCAGCAGGTAAGAACCTAGCCAAAGTGGACCAGAAGAGCCCTGACAAGTGGCTGTGCTTGAATGCTACAGAGGAAGGTAAAAAACCCCCAGGAACCAGTGCCGATCTGCCCCGGGGGAAAATTCCTTCCTGACCCCAGCACTGGCAATCAGCAATTCCCTGAGCATGTGAGCAAGACCTGCCTCCTTGCCCCACAGGCATGTCATGCCTCCCAGGAAATACCCAAGCCCTATTATCGCTCAACCTGGAGCTATCTCCGGGAATTCTGAGAGTGGCAAAAAGCACGCAGCCTGACTGACCTTAGAGGCAAGAATCCTTCCCATGCCTGAAGGACACCAGTGGCTTCTCCAAAGTACTGAGACACCTGGCAACATCTGTGCAGACCATTTCTTACGGCTGCTGCCCCTGGCTCTGCAGGAGATGGGCAAAGCCAGCTCTTGCGGTGCTCCACAAGAAGGCATTCCCTTGGTTTTGCCACTGCTATCCAGCTGAAAAGTCCTGATAGACTCAGACACCTCCAAGGTTCTTCTCGTCTCCAGCAGTCTCATGCAGCCTCCTCCAGTCTTCCTCCCTCAGTCCCCTCCAAATAATTCCACCTGTTCCTCAAGGACTTCCTCTCAGATGTCTTTGGGCTTACCCCAGGGCCAGCTCTGGCAGCAGAACACAGGAGGATGCTTCCTTTTATCCTGCCCCGGGATAAAATGCTGTATTGCCAGGTGGTGGCACTGTGACATGGCTGACAGGGCCTCCCATGTGCAGCTCTGCCCACTACCCCTCTGCCCAGCATCCTTTGGAGAAAGGCCTTTGGGGTGCTGGCCAGGACGTCTAGGGGGCTGTCAGCACCATTGGTGGCCATGCACCAGGCACAGCTACTGGGCATCCCTGTAAATTCATCTGGACATCCAGACTATGTAAAGAAGGGCATTTATACCATATACATTCACTTGGCTGTGGGGGATGCCAGAGACGAAAGACAGGCTTTTGGTTCCCTCTGCATGTACTTTGCAGATACATAGAGAGCCTGCAGGATTTTCTCACTATTCCTTACCAAGGCACATTTGCTAGTCCCCTGCTTATGGTGAGGTCATCTTCTTGGAAAGAAGTCCTGAATTGTTTTGTATTCTTGACCATCTTTTTCCTTGAACTTCAGTAGCTCTTTTCCTCCACTGGCCTTCATCCTTGATATCTTTCTTGAAAGTGATGGCAGCCTTTGTATTGCTCCTGCTAGTCATCATCTTCTGTCAGCTCTTTGCTAAAGCTCTTTGCTTTATACTCCATGGAAATACACACTTTCACAGGTTTTCTTGAATACAAAAAATGCCCAAACTCACAGCAATGAAGCAATGTCAGCTAGCTGCTTAGCAAGCCGGTCACTTCTTTTCTGGCCTAAGCATTGCTTGGGATCAACCACTGTTCCAATTCTAGGAAGGATTTTGGACTGGTTATTTTCTTTCTGTTTGAATCACTGCCTATTTTCCTCTGAGACTCTGTTGTAACTTAGAATTAATTCACAGTTAGAAAATGAGCCAGATTCTTGTTACCAGATGTGATTTTCTCAGCAATTGAAACGGGCATTGGGGGAAAGGTGGCAAGCTCCATGCAGTAGAAATAACCAGTAATTCTCACTACACATAGTACAAGTTATGTCAAAAGATCCAACAGTTACCATTCTGCTAATACCATACCCTATTAATGTACACAGCTGTTAAGAACTAGACAATGCAGTTGTTTTTTTCCTCAAAACACTATCAATGTTTCTCGAGATTTAACCACTGAGGCTGCATTAAGTTAGCAGTGTTTCCACACACTCTGTTTCAACTTCTCTGCCCTTCTATCAAACATATAAAAAAAAGTGGAAGATCACACTTTGGATGAGGAAGACACACAAAAAAGATTTTCACATCCAAAGCACAGAGCAGCAACAGAATCCTTCCCTCTCCGCCCCAGCACATGAAGGAAAATCCACTCTCTTTTATTCTTTGAATCTTACATTTCTTAGACTCTTTGAAAAGTTCACACTAGATTTCATTTTCAAATTAAACAGAGTCTATTTAAATATGGCATTTGATTAAAGACCACAATACACATCTAGCAGTATGATCTCACCAAGGTGAGAGTTTCTTCTCCATTTAGTACCAACAGGCCAATTTGTTTTATATTGAATTAGGCTGTCTGATATCTCACAGATAACCTGTTATCAGGTGCATACAGTTTCAAATGAGCCAGAACTGGTAAAGAATTTTTACCAAGTAGGGCAAATAGATTGAAATAAACATGTTTTTCAAAAAGTAAAAATTTTTGCTATGTGGTTTCCAAACTAAAGTTCTGAAACTTGTTTTAAATCTTGTTGAAATTTAAAGTAATATAAGGATTCAAATGAAACTCCATGCAGAAAATAAAATTATTTGGTTTCATCCACACAAAATTCTTAATTAATCTTTTGGATCAAATGAATGCGTTGTGTGTTTTTTTTTTTTTACTTCATTGCTTATTTTTGGTGTATGAGAACATTTTAGTGCAGAAAATAATAGTTAAGGGGAAAATTAAACCAAAATCCTTAGTACATATGTCCTTCTTCTTTTACAAAGAGCAATTTGCTGCTAGCATTTAGAGAGTGAAAAAGTATCTTTGGAAAAACATACAGGAAACACCTTAGAAAATTAATCATTTTGATATTAGGGTGATGAAAAAACAATCCAGTGCTTTCAACCCTTGTGAAAGGGTGTGAAAACAAACCAGTACAGCTGCAGGTGTGCTTTATCTACCTACATATAAACAATTCTAGTAAAGGAGGCACTTCTACTATGACTGAAGCCTGGAAACGTTTTTCATACACACAGACCTGTATATCAAACACTGGGCCAGAATCTTAAAGGAGAAAATCTAACTAGCAGAGGTATGAAACTTGAATGGCCATTACTTGGTCATTCAACCTGTATTTTATTTGTGTGCATAAGGTATGGATAAATGAAGAGTCACTTGTAACAGATATTGCTCACTTGTAATAGAAGCACATTTGACTAAAAGGCATTTTATGGAATGACAGAGAAGAAATGTTTACAACACAAGTTTTATTTTGTGCACATCTTTATTTGAACTGGTACATAGCAATATCTTTATAGAATAAGATTTCTGAGTAGAATCTCTTCTCTTTCCTCCTATGTCCATTCCAAGCTTAGATGTTCATACTCTAGTTCCCATAACCTTCATGGGATGAAGAATTATTTATGTGCAAAATTATACTCTGAAAGACACCTCAATCAACATGACACCCTGATATTTGTTTGTAGGATATCACTTGCACAAATTGAAGTGAGAGCGGGGAGTATACAGTGAACACAAGTCATCAAGAATAATAATTATAAAAAAGGAAAAATAAAGAGTCTGGCATACGAAAGTTTCTTCATTACTCTTTAGTGTATTTATAATCAACCAATTTCCTCTCACATTTCCCAGCTCTGTAAAATAAGACCTGTATATCTTCCCAGAGTTTGTCTGTAAGCCACAGACATGCTTAAAGGCATCTTATAAACTATCTGATAATGTGGCATGATAATTACCCCATGAGGATAGTCACTGGACATAAATTGTTCCTTTCCCAGGAGATACTTCCAGTTCTTGATAATGCTGTTTTTTACTATCTTCCAGAAAAAGCTGCCACTTGGTTACATCCATGTTCAGTTCCTTTGGCAGTGATCTTCAAGTCACAAGGTTCATAAATGAAAATCTCAGGTGTCCTGCACAAAAACTCAAGAGATATCATCTCCTCTGCAGCCAATGTTACACCATGTGTTACATACAGTTTTGCAAAATTCAGTTTACTGAAGAGCTTAACCCATGGGAAAAGAGCTTTACTCGTTTTGCAGCTAAGGGATCCATTTGCCTGGGGACTCTCCTGTTTCTGGGAGCTGACTGTCAGGTCCATGATGATGAGGCCTGATGGAAATAGCTTTGCACCAGCAACACCGATGGCTAAGCTCAGCAACAGTGACTTTTGGCAGCAGCAGCAGGCAGTCTTTGTTCACAGGAGCACTGTCTCTGTCTCAGTATCTCACAGGTTCCATTTCAGAAGATCTGAAATCTTTATGTCAAGTTTCTCTCTTCATCCTCCTTTCTCAGTATTTTTGGAAGAAGGAAATGAAAAAGAGAAAAAGAAAACCTAAAGGAACAACTTATACCAGGGTATCACTTCTCTTGCTGCACCATACTACCAGTGTGATCATGGCACATGTCAACATGACTGGGATCAAGATCAGAGTTATGAGAATTTCATCTGGTGGATCTTCCCAGTGAACCTTTTCTGAAGTACAGTTTGAAAAGAATTGTTTATGAATTCCAGTGATAAAGTCCTCTGCAAGGGGGTTTGGCCAAAAGCAACTTGCATTGTTAGCTTCATGTTCTGTGCACTGGGTAAAGTTGTCGTAATATCTAAAAGAAGAAGAAAATGAAGAGAAGTCTAAATAGAACATGTATGCATATTACACTTAGAGAAAGCTAATAGGGTGCCATATAGAATCTACAAGAGTGGGTCTATCATGTAGATACTCTGCTGAAGGATCTTTAATGGAAGCTATGGGTACCAAATACTATACGGTGAACTAGGAGAATTGACTCACATGTACTCATATAAGTGAGAGATTTCATGTGAAATCCTGAGATCCGGGATGGACAGTGGTCAAAACCCTGTCTTTTGGGTTCTGCTACGACAGCCAGGACCTCCTAATTCCACTTACTTAAATAGAATTGGAAGCCCCTCCCTAAAGACTTCTACAGTATCTTTAAAAAACATACACACAAATGTGCCAAGAACAGGACATTTTGAGCAAAATATGGATAATTTGTGCCTCATCTGTCATTGGACATAATGTTGTAGTGAAAAAGATGATGTGACGTTGGGACTGAGCCACAACATGCATTACTGTGTAACAATTTCAGTTCTGTTGTACCCTCAGGTCGTAAAAAGATAATAAAAAAAAAAAAAGGTAAAAAAAAAAAAATACAGAAAATTAGCTTTGGACAACCTTTATCTTTTTCCCAACTCCAGCAAATGCCCAGCAGGGAAAAAAAAAAAAAAATTTTAATTACAGATGTTTGCAATACTCATGAAATATTGGGAACCCTTTGTTATGCCTAACACTTGATTTCAACACAACATGTGCTGAAATTTAGAGGTCCAGGAATAACTTATATTTATGAGAATCGGCTACCCCTCAGGAAAAAAAAGGAAACAATAAGCTTAAATGAGTAATTAGATGGGTTTTGTGGTGTTGTCATAAGCCAAAGAAATTCAGGAAGCGAATGGAGTATGGGGAAGGAGATCGGAAATTAAAACAACGAAGAGTGCCTGGTCAGTACATGAATAAGGCAAGAAATAAGGAAGCTGAATTATTGTCTGTTGCATTTTTAAATATTTCTTTTGGTCCTGCATGACTCAATAAACTCACTTCAAAGGGAAACTGAAAATAGAAAGGACAGAGCAAGAAACTACATGACACCTCAACGGGGTAGCATCCTGCACTATTATCTGAAGGCCCTACCCTCCCTTTCAGTATGTATAAATACAGAAACTCCTGATGAGTCACTCATTCTGACATTAAGTACCACTGGGGACTAATACTGACTCAATCCTTGCTGTGAAGTAGTGGAGGAGAGACATTCAGTGTTTGGTTCAAGACTGAAGTCTACTGTCTACTGCCTGTCTGTCAGGGGAAATGTCTGCCTGCCCATGCTTCAAGCACATAGGTTGAGAATATAGGCTGCAAAGCATATCTGTTCTCAGGGCTGTGTTCACAGAAGAAAAAAAAGCCTCACAAAAAGGTCCTTCTGCAGCCTTCTCACAGTTCTCATTCTCGAGGAGTTTGAGCTCATGCCACTTTATTCATAAGCAAATACACTGGACAATCTGACAAGTCCACACGCAGATGCATATATGCACAATATATGTGTATTTTAAGCAAGGCAGCTAGAAAGGAAGCTTTTGTGACGTCAGTAGCCACAGGGAAAGAACAGGAAATTAGCTAAAAATAAAATACAAATATTAGCTGTTTGTTATTTTAATAGTGTCATCTTCCATGCGACCCAGTAGCATCCATTCCATATGGGAGAGACAGTCCCAGAGGACCTGAAGAATAATACATCTAAAGGCATGCCTACAAGGTTCGACAGACTAGAATGCAGAGATGGAAGAGCTAGTATCCAGTTGCCCAGACAGGTCAGTGCTCCGTCTGGCACAGACATGAAGCAGGGCTCCAGAGAGCATCAGGCTCTGCTCCAGCCCTTCCCTTGGCCATGCTCTGGTAAGCAAGCTTGTCCCATCAATGGCTGCTTCAGTTCCCTGCAGCCACAGCCACCTCAATTTGCCCATCTGTTAATGCAGAATAACAACAACAACAACAACAATAAATCCTGGTGACCTGAACAGACTTCATATAAAAGGATCCTAAACTGAAAGATCTAATGATATAAAACCTTCTTTTTTTTTCCTTTTTCCCTAAGTGTAAAATCCTATAGAAAGTTCACTGTTCTTCCAAGAATTCTGTAGATTTTTTTCATAAATGTTAGTGGTGTAAACAAAAACATTTCCCACTGATTTCCCAAGTACAACATAGTTAGAAAAATATGATTAAATGTTGCCAAAAGGCCAGATAAAAATAATTAGGAAATTATATTGTATTTGAAAGACTGAATCCCTAGGAGCCAAAGTAGAATAAAAATGTTATCTTAATAGTTGGAATTCCTTACAATTTTCCTTTAATACCCTCTCTCTCAAAAAAAACCCAACTACCTGCACTATAACTGTTTTTGCACAAGATTATGAGAATATAGATAAGAAAAAATCTCAACTATTTGAGAATTGCATATCTGCCAGTGAAGCTCAATTAACTGAAATATTTATGTAATTCAGAGTTTATGCACTGCAACAGAAAGCACATGTTTAAAAAAAAATCCTCTACATGGTACCATGTACCAGCTGCCTCAGAAGGGAATCCTCATTACCATAGCATGGGCATTTTGTAGTTGATCAACTGATTTGCAAGGTGTTGTTTTTTTTTTGAGGGACATAGGGGTTAATGGATACTTAATTCCAATTTGATTCTCCTATGTTTAATTCTCTTATGTCTTATGTAATTCTCTTTATTCAAATGGTAAAGGCTAGAGTAGGAAAACTTTTCATTCTGTATAATAAAATTACTATCACAAAGACGCTGTGGCCTCTGAATGGAGGTACTTCAAAACAAATGCATAAAAATTACACACTTCATGAAAGGAAAGTACAAGAAATTACATTTTCTACTTATTCCCAGAACAAGTAATCGGAGCAGTACAGTAGCACAAGCTGCTTCACCTCTCAAATATCAGGATGTGTGGGAAGGTTATTATTTTCTGTGCTGAGTCACATTTTCATGTCTTTCAAGTGAGCTACAAGGACCCTAGTTAGTTAATACTCAGAAAATTTATATTCACTGGGAACCAGCTCACAAGCTTTGAGATCAGTGGGCTGAAAAATTAATGTATATGTGAGTTTCAACTCAGTTCAGTAGGCCAGTACTGAAAAACAAAAACTAAGCATAGTCTGAGGACCAAAATTCATATACAGATATGCTTTCCCCCAATAAGCTCAGGAGAATAATTTTAAGTTTTATTGAGGAACCAACTAGATGTTCATACTGCATAGTATTGAAAATACTTTCAGAGAACACAAAAAACACTGAATTCCTCTTTGGAGCAATCTCTGAGCTGTAACACATTTGTCTGGAAAGGCAATTTTCAATATTCTAGAACAATATTTCATTTTCAGAGCACAAACATTTTTTCTCCTGTACTTAATGTTTCCAGTAAAACAGATAATAGCAATCAAGTGGTTAGTTTTTGTAAAAACTGTGGAAAACTTTATTTTGTGAATTATTTTTACCCATGAGAAAAGGTATTTATATATATTTACCTATAACCAAGAAACAGGACAACAGGCAATTATTATCAGGAATGCTAGCACACATGGGACAGAGTTTCATGGAGTGCCCAATCCAACCTATTTAAAAAGACAGCTGAATGTATTACATCTCACCCATCTCAGGGTACCCAGCTGCCTACCACTCAGGGCACTGCTCAGTCTAAGTGAGGTCCTGAATCTCATCCATAGTTTCCCACATCCCCAGGGAGGAATGTGGTGAATTCTTGCTCTTTCTTCCTAGACATCCCTGTGCAGAAAAACTGCAGATGATTGGTTTACAAACACAAGAAACCCAGACTCCTTCCTCCAAATTTTCATGAGATAAAGCAAGCAAATACACTGTTTCATTAAGAGTTTCAACAAATGAGCAATTTCCAAAGAAAGATTGTTCTTTCAAAAAAACCCAAACAATTCTCAAAAAGCGGAGCACCATATATCATGTTACGGAAGACAAAGTTTTGAAGGCATTCACTGACTGAAGCCAGTAGACCCACCTGCAGTTCTAGTAAGATGATTTTGCCACCTCTCCAGCATTCATGGATAGACCACCCCAGGAACACTCTGCACACATACAGTCAGGGATTTTTCAGCATTGCTTAATGAGATGAGTCAGGAATTAAAAAACAAAATAATCACCACACTTTCATTATCCTGTTTCACATAAATCAGCTTCATGATTAGTGATATAATTATGGAAGGGCACAGCAGGATATGCACATTATGAGTTAATTTTTGGGTCCACAAAGTATTCAGAAAATACAGGGAAAATTCTGCCCAGCATAAATGAGCCTTGATGTAAAGCAGGAAATAGATACTCCAGGGACACTCACTCCTTCTATGATCCTCAACAGGAATCTAGAGGCACTGTTCCAGGGTACTACAAGTTATGTGTTTTGTTTTAATAAAGTTGTTTTAAAACTCTTTTTTTTCCCCTCAGATTGTTCAACCAAGAAATTTCTTTATTCATAGTCATATATTAAATTAGAGTTCAAAGTGAATGATCATCCTTGTAAACTGGATGAGAAATGTTGAAATAATAATTATAAATATCATATGATGAGAAAGGCTCTTCTTACAGCATTTCCAGATGAGGTGGAGGCAGGAAGTACCAACCAACTTCACAAAAAAAAAGCAGCCTATTCTTGTGTGATATGCAGTCAGATTTTATAGAATTTAAGGGTGTAACAGTCTGGATGAACTTCAAATAAGGATCCAAACCTTAAGATGATTATCTTCTGAGGTTTCACCATCACATTAAAAGGAAAACTTTAGTATTAAAATCAGCTATGAGCCTACAAATACAGTGGAATATTTCTAAGTTTTTTTCATTCAATATCTCTCCAACAGGTTTGTGGCTGTATCTCAACATTCCTTTAATCATGTGTCTTCTGCCAAGAGAATAATTCACGCAGACACAGTTCTACCTCCCCAGTCAGGTCAGATCTGCTGTTGTGCATCTCCAATATAGAATTCAGCC